CGTTCGTCGAGCGTGCGGTGCGGAGAGGCAGGCAGCGAGAGAACGCCGCGCTGCGGGAGGATTCCCCCATCCCAGGCAAGCGGGCTCGGCTCAGCGTTAACTCGCCCAGATGCAGTTACTGCACGTCCAGCTGTGTATGAGTGGAGCTAACCGCATTTTCCCTCTTCTTCTTCCTCTTCTCTTCTTCTTCCCCCTTTCCTCCCTTTTGTTTTTGCAGCAAATGGAGCTGCTTCTGGTGAATAAGCTGAAATGGAATCTGGCTGCAATGACCCCCCATGATTTCATTGAACATTTCCTTACTAAAATGCCTCTGGCAGAGGACACCAAGCAGATCATCCGTAAACACGCTCAGACTTTTGTGGCTCTGTGCGCTACAGGTATGAGCCCTGCACATGAAACAAGGCGTGTTGCTCCCCTGCACACACCTGCCCCCCAGCTTGTAAGGCTTCCCGTAGCTATGGTCTAAAGTGAGTTCACAGAGCTGTGGGGAGGTAGTTTAAGCCCTGATTATTGCCCCCCGTTGTTTGCAGAAGGCGGATTACTTTGCAGAGGTAAGTTTTTCAGAAGATAATTTTTCTTCTGAGTTGAATAAGCATAGCTCTTGTTGTCTGGGGGCAGAAGTACCCCTCCTTGGTAGTTTGGCAATTGAGTTTGCTGCTGAGAGTGACGTGATTTTTTTCATCTCTGCATATCACATTTACGCAGGGCTGCAAAAGACTTACTGCCCATATGGGGAATCCCTCTGTGTGGATTCATTCTTAAGACAGTTTTTAAAGGCACAGAGAGAGAGTCTGCTTGTGAATAGCTCTGCGTGGGGGTTTTAAAACTTCCCTCTTCAAGTTGCCTCTTCCCCCTCCTCTGTGGCTGGTGGATTGGAGGAGGGCCACGCGGCACAGAGGCTTTCCTGGCACAGGACCGAGTCTCTGCCATCTGCACCCTTCTGACCACGTGCTGCGCTGAAGCCATGTGCAGGGGCGGCCTCCAGAGGAGCCAAAGGCGCCGACTGTTCGCTAGGCCAGGTTTGCAGAGGCCTGATCTTTGGTTTCAAGGGCACTGTGCGCGCGCGCGTTCTTTGAAGCTCCATGTTTGCGTGTGGAGTGTGTGTTGATATGTATTTGTACATGCACTGGCTTTACCCACCGAACCCTAATGAGTGGGAAGGAAAAAAGTTTAGAAGAGTCTTTCTGTTCTCCAGATCTTAACTGTTCCCACAGGACAGAATGGAGGAGTGGGGACAAAGGAAGCTCTAAAGGGAAGATACCCTGTTTGAACAAAATGTATTCAGTGCATTTTCTTTTAGTACGGCAAGACAAATCAAGGAATGGCAAAAGAATAAGAAAAAGCAGCCAAAGCAAATTTCTTTAGCAGTAGTACGTAAAGAGGAATGCCAGATGCCGTCCCTGTTAACACTGGCAAATTTACTATAAAGGAGATGCAGCGCTTTACTAAATGTTAATAGGCAGTAGCAGTTGCACTAAAAAAGATACCAAACGTGTATTTGGACTTGAGAAAAGGTGCCCACACTTGAAAACCCCGGTGGGATATGTGCAGTCAATGGACCAAAATAATTACAGATAATACAAAAGTTCAAACGTTTTGTAGTTTATTTTCAGAGAGATGGATTTGGTCAAAAGATTCAAGAAAGACTGCAGGCACTTAAAAAAAAAAAAAAGGAAAGAAAGAAGAAAATGTTGTTTTCACAGAGTCAGCCCTATTGCAAGGCCTAAAGATAGAACAAACCATAAAAGAGAAATTTATAAACAGTGGCATTGCTTTTCATCTTGGGCCTAACATCAGAATAACAGGCAGTTCATAAGTCAGCTTGCCTGGAATAACGCTCAGTGTTTTGAGCGCTACAACATTCAAACAGCAATCAAAATACCTGCAGCAACATTTTGGGAAAATCAGACATGTTCTCCATGACAGATTGAACCAGATAAGGCTGCTGGGACTCCTGAATATGTGATTTGCTAAGTTTGAAGCTACCTCAGTTGTTAGCTAAAAAGAACAGCTACCCAGCCTCCCCTTTGGATTTGGGGATGTTTAACCTAGGCTGTTGTGTTGGCAATGACAGGGATGAAAACAAGAGTAGTTCAAAGGTTGGAGACTTGCTAAGAGTCCAGTACTTTGATCTACTGTCGGTGTTGTTATGTTTCTTTTAGGAAACACATCCAGAGCCTTTATTTAACACTGCTACGCACCACAGCTGGAGAATGGATCAATAAATGGGAACCATGTTCTGGGAATTTTACTTAGATTAAAAAAAAAAAAAAACCAGTGCTGAGCTCACCAGAATTGGGGCCCTCATCAGCTCCCTACTGAAGTTGTTGGGAACATTGCCTGGGGATACAGCATTCAGGAAGGCTGCCACTCTAGGCTCTGTATTTTTATTGTTTCTTTGGATGTCAGGATTTTCTGTACCTCTTGCTTTCCTCATGGCTTCTTTGTTGGGTAGTGAAGATAACATGTGGCTAAGTAGCATCTGGACTTTGCTTTGCTGTTGCTGGGTTGTGTTGCATTTTCCCTTGCCAGAATGAACCTAGATGGACTGCAAATGTGTTGTGCTTGCCTGGATGTTGTGGGGCCCAATCCAAAGTCCACTGAAAACACTGTAAAACTCATTTAAGTGGCCTCAGGGGCAAGCGCAGTATATCCATTGCTAGAATACGGCCTGCATCCTCTACTAAAGGAAGGTATCATCAGAAGACACAGCAAAACAATGCTTGCATAGAAAATAAAATCTCAGCCAGTTGGCTGAACAAGGGGAAGGCTAGGGAATTGTTTGGAGATGTGTGTGTATGTGCGTTTGCTCCAGAAAGAGAAGGTTACATTACAAGGTGAAGTTGAGGGGAATTCCTTATAAGCTCCCTCTTCAGTTGTCTGCCTAGTAAAAGTGGGTTTGTTTGATTTGATTTAGTTTTGAAAAATATATTTTCACCAAAGGATGTCTTTGTGCTGTGGTAGGTTAGGGAGAAAAAGAAAAAAAATTACCGGGGTTGTTTGAAGTTAACACATAATTGAGTTTAATGAATGGGGCTTTGGCATGGCCGAGCAAGGCAGGGAGAGCTCAAAAGGAAACAGGCCTCTTTTGGCCCAACTTAAGACCAGTATTGAGGGAGAGCTGCAGCTCTACACAAGCATAACAATGAATAGCAACAAATATTGGAGCTTCAGCATTTCATTATGTTCCTCTGGTTATCAAAACATACCAGGCTCCTTTTCTATTATTATTATTGCTATTATTATCGTTGTTGCTTTCGTCCTTTCGGACGGAGAAAGACCTCCCTTTGAAACAACTGGGCTACAATTCTCCTATTCTCTGGCCTTTATAAAATTGGGAGTCTCAAGGTATGTGACCAGTTGGAACCTGTTGCATCTTGCAGCAAGTGATTTATGTTCGCAGTTTTGATTTGCCTCAATGAAAAGATTTTCATTCATAGCCCCCAGCTCTCCAGACGGATGGAATTGCTGCTCCATTTAAAAAGGAAAAGGGGTGACTCGCCTTGTTAGGAATTTTTTTTAAAGCGCTGCAGCGCCTATATGCCTGCTTTGTCCTCCCTTCAGGGTGGCTGGCATTCTTCTTTCTCCTCCCCCTCCTCTCTCTCTCTCTCTCTCTCTTTTTAACAACGCTGAAGTTGTTTATTCTTTTTGGATGAAGTCTCAGATAGGCTACTGGGGATGTGTGCTTCAATTGATGGGGCCCCCTACCCCATTGTGGCTGTGTCAGGTCTAATTCATCTCACCGAAGCCCCCTTGTTCCTGAGCGCTCAATAGCGCAAGATGAGGCGATGGAGGCTGACAATGATGCCACACTCTTCACTTGGGGGCATCCAATTACAGGCGAGAGGGGCCCCCTGATTAATATGCTGAAATTAGTGGCCTCTGCCACAAATAATTCCTTGTTGAGTTGCAACAAAAAGGCAGTCCATGCTGCTTGTCTGGAGTGGTTATAGGGACAGACACAAACTGGTCATTTAAACTTCATTATCACTTTTCCACCTTGGAAAGAATGAGGGTGTGACTATGAATTTGTGTTCTTGTTTACTGCTCTATTTAAAAGAAAAACGCAAATATTAATCCTAAGCGTGGTCCTGTCAGGACAAACTCATTTGACTGACACATTTTGATCATATTCTGCGTGTGGAACTCAGTAAGTACTGACGCAAACTCACTGACACTGGCCCCCTCTGAACAAATGACTCTCGGTGAAATTCGTCTTTGCCCAGAGAAACCCCTTATTTCTGAAGTCTCCCTGCAACGATGTATCAGTATTTCAGTTAGGGGACTATCTTTGGAATGGATGTATTGTCAGTAGCCAAACTGAATTATTTGGATTATCTGGAAAGACAAAAGTTTGCTAGGAGGCGTGCGTGTTTGTATGTGTCAGGAAATGGGGGGATTAGGAAAAGGGGGTAAGTGAAATTAGTTTTACACATGCTAACAAAGATGAGATGGCCTTAGATAGAGTTTGGCCTTTTGTTGACTCTATCACAAAAAAATTTGGCCACAACTAATCGTATCAGCTTAATTTTGGAGGCTCATAGAATGCTGGGTGAAATGCCCTTTTGAAGGTGGGGTATTGGTCTGGGCTACAATGGACTGTCAGAGATATATGAATAGATTTAGAGAGAAGACTTTCACAGACTCCTGAAGGTCTTTAGTTTCACTGGTAAAACATTTACACAAAAGTTATTTTATCATAATAAAGGAGATGCATGATTTAATACTTAAACTGTTCCACTGAGCCCTCTAAGCTATCCATTCCTTTGATTTCATTCAAAAGTTTGACAGATGGTTTATATTTTTTCAACCCAGAGGAAGTTGTATTCTGATAAAAGCTGAAGGAATGTATCTCAGGTTCTTGTGTACAATGTGGCGTTTCCCCTTTCTCCTTCACAAAATTAGACATTTACTCGTGCCACTTATTTGCTTTGTTTCTGATTCTTCTCCAAGGTGTACGCTGCCCTGGATCAAACGCATTCCTGTTTATTAGAAAGAGTCTTAGCATTAAAATGTGGATTATTCTTATTAAGAAGGAAAAAAAAAAAAGCTAAATGGCAGAGATAGCCCCTTAAGGAATCATGGGAGTGGCTTTGTGGAGAGACCTACAGCAATGCAGTCTGGAAGGGGGCCCAGCCTCTTGTCAGCATGGTGTCACATCAGAATGTAACTGATTGTCCGCCAATTCTTGGGACCCCCGTCACTTAGTTATGCCACATTTACATTAAATCCCTGTTGCCAGGATGGATGGCAGCCACTGACAAGAGACTAGGTTGAGACAAAGCATTTTTAAGATGAAACCTTAATTTAAATATGGATTATCTGCCTCCTGATGGGGTTAAGCAGTCTTTTTCTTAATTTTTGTTGATGTTGTTGTTCATTAAAGTTATATTCCTTTTCATGTCAGTATAAAAGTTTCTGCTTTAAAGGGCCCGGAGACTCCTTATTACAGTGCGCCTAGGATCTGATCATGCTGAACACTTAAACACTTAAGAATGTGAACAGGTTTTCTCAGATGTATAGCGCTGTTGACCCAAAAGACATTATTCATATGAGTAAAGTATTTAAACATTTGAAGAATGGGGGCCCTGCTATGATAAAAATATCTCAAAGTGATGAATGGTCTCCCAGGCTTACTGCTAAGAAGGGCTACTCACTCAACTGCAGTTGCTTCTGTGGATAAGTGTTTACAGGTTTGGGCCTGTAACAGTTTACAGCAGGAGGCACCCGTCTAGTCGTAATTTCCCTACCTTTTCAGATGCGGTAGTTGGCAACTGAAGCCAGCCCATGCTGACAGAAGAGACCGTATGTGTACGGGAAGGCTTGTCCTAAAGAAATCATTCTGATCTTTTTTTTTCCCCTCTTCTCTCTTCATACAGATGTTAAATTTATTTCAAACCCGCCTTCCATGATCGCAGCTGGCAGTGTGGTAGCTGCTGTTCAAGGCCTGCATCTGGGGGACACTAACACTTTCCTCTCCTATCAATGCCTCACACATTTCCTATCACAAGTTATCAAATGTGACCCGGTAAGTGACTCTTTCTTAGATTCCCTTGATCTCCTGCCTCGGAATTTAAGAATAAAAGCCTGCCTACTGCATAGTAGCCGATCTGACAGTAAATCTTGATGAAAGTTAAACCTCAGAGTGTTTTTTTTTTTTTTGAACATGTGTTCATCCTAGTTATTTAGCCATCATTATATACTCCAATAATCAGTGATTATGCTGCTGCAGTTCATTGATATAAATGCCACATCCAGTTCTACTGTTTTGAAAGGCAGGTGTATTTGACATAGCAAAGGAAACTTTGAATTTATTTTAAGACAATTGCAGAGGCTGTATTTAGTAGTTGCTAATTAAAGCAGGAGTCTATGTAAAACAGAGCCTTTAAAATAAGACAAGGAAGTAGTTACTAAGATTGCAGTAAATAGACCTCATGGCATCTCTGACCTTATCTCTGACCATTCTTGAGACCTTTTATTGTGACAAGTGGTGTGAAAAAGTCCTTCTTAAAAGAGTTCTAATGATCTAATTTGGTTTATTACGTGCTAGAGCTGCACAGTAGCTGGTATCGAATTTCTTTTTGGAACAAATGTTTGTCCCACGACTTTCTTCTGACAAGGTAGATGGTCCTCACAGGACTCTCATTTTGCCCTGCAGCTTCCAGGAGATGCACATCAGTAACTAGTGAGCAATAAACCTTTCATGAGTGAATGGGCCAGGAAGGGAGCCTACAAGGAAGACCTAAAGTCAATGATCCATGTCATAATGGTGTGTGAAGTTGGGGCAGAGTTGAGCTTTGTTTTGTAACAATGTGGAAGACCAATAAATAGATGCTTTAAAAAGGTTCTTGTGAGGTCTCCAAGCACTGGACAATGAGCCAAATAAAGACAACCCTGTGGTTAGTGGCAGAATCTTTGAGATGCTGTTAAATTACTTTACATGTTCATAATTTAAATATAGAGAGAGCTATATTAGTCCAGACACTTCAAAACAAATTTAATATAATTGGACTTTGCTGACAAGATGGAATGATTTCTGGAAAGTTGAATGCATCATCAGGAGTTACTCACAAAAGAGTAATGATAAGAGTATCTGTGGGAAACAAATGCTGACAAATACTGTATCACAGCTTATTATTTTGTTCACCTGAACAATGCCCTCAGTATTTAGCACGTTATTTTTGCCCTTTCTATTACTGCAGCAAAAGTAGTATGGATCCAGCACGGGAACGTTAAATACTATGAGCGCTTTAAATGCTGAAATAAGATGCTGTAAATATCCTGCTGTTCAGTTTGGTATGCACCTGTAACGCTTTTAGTGAGGTTGTGAACAATGTAGGTATTTCAGTGTACGGTTGGCGCCTCTCCAGTGCAAGATATTCAAAGCAGGTACTTAAGAAAAATGCTAGGCTTGCTATCTGTACTGATAGTGAGTATCTGATGCAAACAAAAATATTATTTAATTATTCCTGATACATAGCATTAAAATATATTAAAATATATCATGGAGAACAACAGCATGTCCTTATGTGACTTGACTTAGTTGATGTCGGAGCTCTTTCAGAACAGAAGAAAGTATCTTTAACAAGGAGGATAATTGCTGGTTATTTCTTTTTATTGTCCAGAGTCATTGCAAGGCCACAGTCTGTGTGACCTGAACTTAATTTAAGAGCTTTAAGAAGAATTAACCCTCCTTCAACCTTTATTGCTGAATATACTTAAGCTTTAGAGCCGCAAGATATTTTGAAATAAGGTTTTCACATAGCTTTCTACAGAAAATAAGACTCATCATAGAATTATAGCTAGAAACTTAAGTTACTCAAAAATTGAAGCATTACTTCCATCTTATTTCTTGCTTGGAGTTTCAGAGTAACATTACCGCCGCTGTTATGTTTGTATCGGAATAAGACAACAGCATCTTTCACTGCTACCGTTCTGAGTAGAGAAAGCTACTTGGTTTCATACATAGCACGATTCTCCTGCGCTGAGATTTCCCGTCAGACATGCCTATGCAACCAGGAGCAGCACATGCTGTTTGTTAATATCTCTATTTGTTACTCCACAGTGGTGGTTTCTCTTGTCAAACCGTGCAGCTGAATATGCTTTCTGTTGCATCGTCTTGTCTTGAAATACTAAGAGCATGCATTATAACAACATGGCTAACGTTCTGCCTGATTATCTATTAGCTAGAGCAGCTGGTCTGTTGGATTTCTGGTTATGTAATTACACTTTTTTACCTTTAGTCTCAAAGAAAGCTGAATCTAAAGTAAAATGAATATCGCCTGATTGGAATTCCTTTATGGTTCATGTTTATATTGGTAGGAGTCCAATTTCCCATTTTGCCTTTGATCGGGGTAATTAGAAGTCAGATAATCACAATTAGAAGTCTTGGGCTGTCTTCCATCATTCTATTCTTGACCTCGTCATCCAAACAGCTGGAATTTTACCTGACATTCATTGCCAGGCCAGAAATTTGCTAAACTAGCTTAGATTGGGTTTCCTTGCTGTCTGTTAGTACACTGGAATTTGTCTCCTGCCTGCCCCTACTCAGAGGCGCCTTCAAACATGTGCTTGTTATCCAGAACGGGTCAGGCAGTAACAAAGGATTTCCAAGCAGTTTCTTTGTTGTTGTTGTTTGTTTCCGTTAGTATCTGACCCTGGAGTCTGATCATGTCTGCTGTGCGCGTTAAAGGTATTTGACCACATCAGTTAAGCTAGCAAGTCTTTTTTCACCAAGAAGCTTAATTAATCCAGGAAGGGTTTGTGACCTTGAACAAACTGTGGGCATTGAAAATTTGGGTAGCGAAGCAGAAAAGTTTTTCGGAGACGTTATCAGAGTAACACACAAGTCTTGTATTTGCTTTTGAGTATTGAGAATTACTGAGAATGAAAACCAAAGCTCTGGTGGGATTGTTCACAGTGAATTTTTAATATTTTGCAGTTATTTTTGCCAGCTCTAAGATGTTCCTCCAGACAAGCTATTCAGCTGATAGCCATCTGAGTAAAAATGATTTGGACAAAAACGCCTGAGACATTTCAAAAATGGTTGTTCACTGAACTGTAGCTTAAGACACAGTCTGTTTGTAATAAATTGTAAAGGCTATGTATCTTTAAAAAAAGCAGAGTTAAAACGTACTGTACTCTCAGAATCTCACAGGAAAAAAAAGATTTGTGGTCAAAAATTACCATTAAATTATGTTGTCCAGTGTAATTATTCATGACTGGACTCCAGAAGGAGAAGAACAGGTGTTTACAGAAATCCTTTTGAACGGTTTGCTAATTGCTTATTTCACTTGAATTACTTTGCATATTGGCTTTCAGAGCTCAAACATGCTATATGCAAATGGTAGCATTTCCAAAAAAAAAAACAAAACAAAAAAAGAAACAAAAAAACCCACACAGAACCAGGACTTGATTTGCTCTGAAAATAAATTGGCTTTCAATTTGGAACATTGAACATACTACCTGGATAGGATTGTCCTCAAAAGTGCCGGGCTTCCGAGAACTGGAAAACCTGAAAGCTGTATTTCTGTACTACTCTAATACATCTAATTCCAAGTGTGACTGAGGTACAGGCTACAGGGCATGCAAACAGAAGTCTTACAGTCAGAACTGGTCTCTCATATCTTGGAAGGAGTGACGGGACTTCATAAAGCCTTACTGGGAAGCCCAGAGGTATGTAGGAGCCAAAGGCACGATGACTTTAGGATATGAGGCGTTTCTTTTTGTCATTTAAAACGCTGTGTGTCTCTGTCAAGAGGAAATATTACACTAGGGTTTAAACCAGAAAAGGTCATAGGTTATGTGTTTTCAGTGAGCTGTAACTGATGGTCTGATCTGCTTAGAGGTAGGATTAACCTCCCTCTCTCTCAGAAAGGACTTGCAGAGAATTGTTTGCTTGGGTTTCTAATCTTATTTTACCCCAAATGCCATGTGCCCTTATTGGTGGCAGAGGAGATTCTTCTGGTAGTGGAATCAGTGAAAAGCTGGTAGATCACACAAGAAGCCTCTGAATGAAGGCAGAATTGAAACTGGGAAATAAAGAAAACAGCAGGCAGGTCACCCTCTCAGGAAAACAACATTCATTCTCAGTCATGCACATCCTAACACTTTTGACGGCAATTTATCATGGAAGACTGGGTTCACCACAAGGGCTAACACATGTCATAGGTTAAATCAGAAAAGGCAATACTGAAAGGAAACTTCAAAGTCCTTAATACACAGAGTTAAATATGTTGAGAAAAAGCTTACGATGTTTGTTATAAAGATATGAGTAAACAGCATGCTGGAGGAATTTTGGCAAAAATGTGTGATTGTTTTGCCTATTTAAGGCACCATTCCTGTCTGTGTCCTTGCAATGGAGGTACGTGGCTCTGAGGAATACGTAGCCCTCGTTAGCAGAAAGCTGGACAGGCTGAGCTAACAGGCCTTTTCCAATTCTCATTGCTGAGGTTCTGTAAACGGAATTGGATATCTACTGGTGCGCTTTAATGTCTGGGGAAGTTCCCTTTCCCACAGTAGACGTGATCTACCAGGTGCTTTGTGCTTTAAATCACACTGAAGCCAGTGCAAGTGGTGAGGCCCTTGCACCCTCCTGGCCACTCAGTAGGATTTTGAGTGCACATTCAGCTCTGAGAAACTGGTTGTCAAGCAAGGGAAAAATATCGCGCCCTAATTGACCTGTTGAGGTGAATGCAGTAGTGGGCTGAAAACTTGGCAGGCCTTTACAATGGATGGCTATGAATATGTTTGGTGGTGGTTATGAAAGATCTGTCTCCATTTGGGGGTCATACAGGCTATTCCTTTGTTTATTTTTTATCTGAGAACTTCATATCATCAAAACTCATGCCTGGGAAGACCACTGCTTATGAAGTAACCTATAGTGCGTCTAGTAGACTGCACTGGCAAAGTGTTTCTGTGGTTAAAGTAGAGATCATTACAGCATCAGAGCTATTTGGACCAACTCTGACTCCAGCACAGTTTCATGTCTTTGTAACTCCATGCTTTTAATTAGGATTGATTCACATTACTGTCCAGCCAGATTGTTCACACTTTTCAAAAAGGTATAAAAGCTAGTGAGGTAAAAGATAGTTTGAAAGGTCTTTTATGTAACTGCTGAAATGTCACAGCACAGGCAAAGCAGTGTAGCACAAACTACATCTTACTGTGTCAAGGTCCTGCCAGGGCAGTGCCACTGTAGAGCAGCTTTCATCACCTGTTCAGTCATAGGCCTGTGGGGGTAAAACTAACCAAGACAGGACAGTCAGAGCTAGTCCAGAGGAACGTATACAGCGATGCTCACTTAGGCCGTTAAATAGAAGTGGCAACAGCTAGTTGCCAGCATCTTGCAGAAAATCTGGTAGCTTATCCCAGCCTTTTGCTGTCTTCCTCTTACTCTTCCCACAGCCCTTTCAGGCTGCGGCCTTCCCAAATAATTTGATCATATTTTTCTTGCCTTTTCAAAAAATGATAATTGGTTAGTGATCTCAGTATTTTTCTAAAGGACGCTGGGTCTTTTTCTCCTCCCGTTTAATCTTCTCTAGGATTGTTTACGAGCCTGCCAAGAACAGATTGAATCCCTCCTTGAATCCAGTCTACGCCAGGCACAGCAACACAACGTATCTTCAGAAACAAAGACTGTAGAGGATGAAGCAGACCTTTCCTGCACACCTACTGATGTGCGAGATGTGAACATTTAAGAGGACTTCTGCTAATGGGTTTGCTTGGCAAGAAAAGCAGACAAAGAAAGGGCATCTGAGAAGGAATCAGCATCAGGATCTCCCCCCCAGAAACCCTTTTCTCCAGGACATTTTTATACCAGAAGGGAAAACCAGTCTTGTTTTTTTTTTTTTTTCCTTGTTCTGTCTCCCTTCCATCTGTGACTTCAAACAAACAAATAAACAAAAAATACCCCAAAAACTGTCTTAAAAAAAAAGAAAAAAAATAGTATTTGCATTACCCCCAGGGGTTTGTGCTACAAAAATAGAAGATTTTATACAATAATAATCAACTAGTTTTTATATTAAAGTGTTCTTGTCTGTATGTTGTAAAAATAGGCATTAACACACAAAATGTCTCCAGGGGAGGTATTAGATTTGATTTCTTACATAAAAAACAAACCAACCAACCATTTTTAAAGTAGAAGAGGGTTATCTTTTTTTTTAGATAGTAAATGAAATATTCTTTTTTCTTTAAAAAGCATAGCTTTAACGCAGTTCTAGGCTTTTCTGTATCTTGCTTGCTTATGCATTTAGTCACTTTATAATTCATCTGTAAATGTTTATTTTATTTCCTTAGTTTTTTTATCCTCTTCACCTTATAAATGGTTAACGTAACCCATAAGTTAGTGTATGTTAGTATACAGCATTATTTTATGTTAATCTTTTTTTTTTTTTTTTTGGTGCCTGTGGATTGCCTGTACATAAGGCATTTGTAGGGTTCCAGCTTAGCATTGTCGGGAAAGGCCAATGTACTACTCATACGATACTCTATTATAAAGAGAAACCGAAATAGTGACATAATATATTATATTTTTGTAATCTTCATATTTTTGTAGTTACCTGTGTATAAATGCTGGTCTGACCCAACAGATATTCAGCCTAATTATGGTCAGGTTCAATCCACAGTTTAGTCTTTGTTTTTGTTTTTGTTTTAAATAATATTCTAAAACCATTCCATTCAAAGCACTTTCAGTCCATTAGATATAGGAAATGCATTCTTTTATTGTGTGGGAATTTTTTTTTTTTAATGGAATGGTTTGGAAATATATAAGTGCTTGTTCGCAAACTTGGAATTGCAAAGCAAGTGCATTTAACTATGGTGTTAGAGGAAAGGTGATATTTTTTTTTCCGAAGGTTGTGTTCCAGTGAGAGAAATTACATTCACAAATTGCCAGGATATCTTCCTATCCTTTTCTGTAGAAAAGTTGAAGTTTAGAAAGCCTTTGGTGCCAGCTCATCTTTGTAAATTAGGGGCCTTAAAGGTTCACATATAGGACACATAGTTTAAGGATTGTCTCTAGATGTTTTACAACTGAAGGTTTTTAAACACTAAAATATATAATTTATAGTTAAGGCTAAAAAAAAGAAAGAATATTTATTGCAGAGGATGTTCATAAGGCCAGTATGATTTGTAAAATAATGCAATCGCCCCTTAAAAAAAAATACACATAATCTTTCTACCCTTGATGTTGCAGTTTTAACAGCTTATTAAAGAAAAAAAAAAAAGACACTCTTCAGAGAACAAACCCAAAACAAAACAGTCTGTTATTTGGCCCCTTCTTATACACTTTCAAAAGCAGTCTAACCATGAAAAACGCCATAGTTAATAAACATGAGAATTGGAGTACTTGAAAGAAGTTCTTATTCCAGTATATGCCCCATCTTTTTTTTTTTTTTAAATTTAGCTACAAATAGAAAATTTGCACATCTTGGCTATGTATCTTGTTATTATTATTTTAGAAAGTAGCTGAAGGGACGTGGACATAGCTGTTGAAGTTGACGCTCGAGGAGAATGTGATGGTGAAATGTATGTGAGAAAACTGCCGCTAAGGTGTTGATTGTTTAAAAATAGAAAAAAAGAGAAAAAAGAGGAAAAAAATAAAAAAAAAAAGAAAAGAGAAAAGAAAAGGAGTGGATGCTCCATTTTTATTGAGCTGCTATGGATAAATTCCCAGCATGGTTTGGAAAAAAAAAAAAAA